TTCTGATATTTCATCAATTCTTGTTTTGATGCTACCGTGTTTCTCACAAAATAAGGCCGGGCCTTATTTTTTTTTGACCCCCAAAAAACGGCTAGGCCATCTTTTCAGGGGTGACTTAATTTCCTCCCCCACCTAGAGTGGCCCATACGCACGTACCTCGCTGCGAGGCCGCTTCTATCAGCCGACGAAAGCTCCCTGAAGGCAGAGTCCCCAGCCGCTTCAGGGCGTGGCATGGCTGCCCATGTCCCCTCACCTTTAGGCAGTCTCTTTCGGGTGATGGAAGCTCCCCAAGTGCAGTCAACAGCCACTTCGATTGGCTGATAGAAGCGGCCTCACGGCGAGGGGAGTGTGCGTGTGCACTCGCCCTAAGGCCGCTTCTACCGGCCAATCGAAGTGGCTGGTAACTGCACTTGGGGAGTTTCCATCACCCAAAAGAGACTGCCTAAAGGCAAGGGGACACGGGCAGCCATGCCACGCCCTGAAGCAGCTGGGGACTCTGCCTTCGGGGAGCTTCTATCGGCTATCAGGGTATTCTAGCCTCGGCTACCTGCAGGGCACTCCTAAAGGCAAGTTTTCTCCCCATCCCCCCCGCCCTTCCCCATTTCTCTTCACCTCGTGTAGTTCTAACGAACGATGTGAGAAATGGCGGGGAAATGCATGGTTTAAATAGGTCTAAATTTTGGGGGCAGGGCTTAATTTCACTTCATGCCTAGAAATCATGCTGGGCCTTCCTATTGGTGGAGGCCGTATTGTTGGAGAAACATGGTAGTAATATTTTCTAATTACAATCAATGTCTGGTTTTATAATCAGTGTATAAAACTTTATATTTATTAATTCTCCCATATATTAGTATCTATTATTTTATATCATTTCCAGATTTTTGCTTTCTTTCATTTCTGTAGTCTTTTTAAGTTCTTGTTCTTCCACTTTGATTGCTAGTTTTATTACTGTACATTGCATATATAAATGTAATCTTCTCGTGTTGTTTTTCTTTGAAGCTCAGTTGTTGCACAAATGTTATTCTGTCTCTTTTGCAGCAATTTCAATACCCCACCAGATAGCAATTTCCATTCTTTCCCCCTCCCATTGGGATATTTTTGTTTGCTTCATTTTTAATTATGCTTTAAATTGAAGTCGAGTTGTTCGAGTACCTAATATGTCATATCTAATCCATTAAATCTATCTTTTGATAATTTGCTGAAGTTGTATCTTCTTAGTCTTTATTTTTTTTTTAGCTGTAATATTGTAAGAGGGATTTCATAATCCGAGCAATAGTCTTTCTGCTCACTAAATAGAGCCTCTTTATCTTTGCTTGCAAAGTAAATAGTCAATCTAACTTCAGTATTGTCCATCTGGTGAACTATATGTGTAGTGTCACAGCAGAGTTTTCTGGAAAAAAGCATTTGCTTTAACACTGATTTTTTTTTTTTTTTTTTTGGCAGATTCTATTGGTTTTGTACAGAGGGTAAATGTTCCTGTCAATCCAGATGCTATTCTACTTACACTGTAGAATTTCCATCTTACATAACAGTCTTTTTTGACTGTTGTGCTAGCAAAATGTTTCAAGTCATCTCAGAGCTATTCAGTTTCTAATTTTCCAGCATCTGTGATTTAAGTATCAGTGTAATACTGATTGGCTTGCCTTAGATGCAAGTTAAGACTATTCTATTGTTTTCTGGGTTATATTCAACACTGACTTTAAAATATTTTATAACTTCACACACCTATTAACAGGCAATGATTTTGAGGGTGTATAGCTGACTTGCCATAGCCTGAAATTGGACATTCTTCAGTTGCAGCATGATCTTCAGGTTAGAAATAAGTCTATAAACTAAATGATACCTATTGTTCATTACAGTAGTCCTTAATTTATGATCAGCTGTTCAGTAAATGTTCAAAGTTACAATGGATTGATTCCTCAGGGTTACTTAAAGACCTGGAATCTAAGTTCTGACAATTGCTCCCCCACTGCCAGCTCCAGGACATATGACTGCATTTTGGGTGCTCAGCAACCAACTCACATTTATGGCTATTTGTAAGTGTCCTGCCTTCACATGACCAGCATTTACTTCCAGTTTGCTGCAAAAAATGCTTATTGCAGACAATGGATCTGCAGACATGTTACTGGCTTAATTGCACCATTTGCTTAACAACTCCTGCAAAGTTATAAAAGTGGATATAGTCACATGGTGACTTAACTAGAACAACATACAACTATAATTTTGGGGTCAATTACAATCATGAGTCAAGGACTACTTGCATTACTATTAGCCATTTCAGGATTACTCTAAATCAAGGAAGTTAGAATTTCTATAGCAACTTCAAACATAATGGAATCTCTCACTAAGAGAGCTTAGCGAGACTAGCTGTATTTAAAAATATATCTATTGAAAATTTTTACAAAATGCTTTTAAAATGCTGAACTCCAGAATAATTAACTGTGCTTTATAAGTACTATTTACTGTGAGAAAAGTGACAGAGAAGAAGCCTTTACATTTAAATATTAAATGTAATTCAATATTAAATGCCTGCAAAGCAATTCATTTTGAGGCAAAAATGTACTAACAACTTTATATATATATGATGCAGAATGTTAAACACTACCCTACCTGCACAAAAGTTGCAAAAGAACAAAAATTGTTCTCAATTCCACAAGATGCATATCTAAAATCTTGCATGACTACATCAATATTATATACTATATCAGAAGTTTTAATCAAATAGCATTCTGATTCCATATCCAGAATTACTGCTAAACTCATTATAGATATGAAAGGCTAACACCAGGAATCCTTCTATTACACCTGGATGAAAATTCTGCAGCCAAGACTGCCTTTGTGAATCTTTGTTATTAATGGTACTGCAGCTAGTCCTGCAAATCAACAGATCAGAAATAAAATTAAATACTCATATGAGAACTGTAAAAAGTACAGCTTCATTGTAAATTAATTTGTTATAAATTCTGATGAGTATCAATGGTTTATAGTTACCTATCTTTTGAGAATCTCTGTAAGAAACAACAATTATTGAGTCAGTTATCTTTTAAGCAAGACAATAACAGTTCTTTGAAGGTAATGCTTTTTGTATTTACTTCCACTTGTACCTTATCTAACAAACATGAATGCCTCTTTCCAGCAAGACTATCATTTGGCAGCTACAGAACATTAATCCATTGTTAAAGATGTAACTCAGAGGAGACAATTAAGTTTTCCAACTTAGATTTGGAAATCTTTAAGTCAAGGTGACATGGCAAGACAAACTGTTTGCCTTTATTTAAGTGGAATTGAATTTCCTAAAAACAAATGATATCACAGCATAAGACTGCAGCCTACACCCTACCTCATCACAAGAAGTTGATTCTTATCCATGAAGCTTATACCATTAAAAATGTATTATAAATATACAAGACATTATTATTAAGTTGGGCTTAATGCAACAGGTTCCAGATTTGCTTTTTCAAAGATAACTTAATAATTTGTAAACATACTTAATAAACCTTTCTTTTCAAGGAAAACCAATGTGTTTATATGAGGTTTGTGGCATTTCTACATATCTAAATAGCCATGTATTTAATAGTTTAATGGATGTTTGTTCATGTAATTTCCAACTGTTGTTTTTCTTAGGCACACTAATTACATTAGTGTAACAAATAAAGTGCCAACTTCTATCCCACAATTCTAAGGGAGCTATACAAGTAAATGAGAGGGAGTAGGAAAGGAATATACAAATAGTGAATTTTTGGTCTCAGTGTTACGGCTTGCTAGCATGTCAGAGCAAAAACTGGTATGTTAATTTTGTATAGTATAAGGCAACTAAAATAAGAAACAGTATAAAGTAATTCTCTCTCCCTCTTCCCCTCTCTCACATACACAAGCAGCAAACACTTTTCTGAGGAAATTTAAGGCTAAATTACTTTCTAATTAGAGGCCTTGTTGAATTTTCCTGTTATATATTTCCAAAGCTTAGAGCTGAGATCCCCTTCCCCAATATAATGGTAAACACATATTTATTCCCATTGTAAATATTTTTCTAAATTGTTGGCTTTCTCAATTCTAGCCAATTCTAGCTGCTTGAAAAAAAACTTGAACAAGAATGTGCATTTTCCTGCTAGCTCATCTTCAAAGGATATCAAGTCCTTCATTCTTTTTATCATACTATTTCCTTAACTTCATCATACTTTTCTATTTCTATATACATACATTTATAGCTACACTCATAGACCTACACACAGATATACACACATTCATAATTATTCATTTCTTTAAAACTGAGTTGATTGATTTCGCTATGACAAGCAATAAAGGGGGGGGGGGTTGGCAAGGAGAATGGCACTTTCAAGTCAGGCTGGCTCCTACAGGCCAGTGGCTAAAATATGGCCAGTTTGTGGCACAGCATGAACTCCCCCAATCTATGGCCCAATGACGTGTAAAAGAGGAAAGAAACAACTTGGTCTGTTTAACGAACTGTGTTGTGCAAACTGAAACAACCTGAACCCATGGACTTCTACATCCCAAGCCTTTACCCTGAAAAATCAAGAGGAAAGGTAGCACCTTTCAAAATAAATAAATAAAAGAGAGCTACTTTTGTGAGTTGACTTAAGACCATCTGAGGTAGGCAGCTGCAGCCCCCCCCCCCAAAAAAGTCACAAATCTGGAAAGGTGCTACCAGATTCCAGATGATTTGCTAGGGCAGACTAACCCAGCAATCTTCCTTATAGTTGTTTCTCTTCACTACCCCAATAACTCTGGGTGAGGATTCCTCTTCCTTCTGCAATATCAATCTCTTGCCTCTTCAATGGTTCTCTCAAGACCGCCACCCCCCCAATTTAAGGCTCCAGGGAGACTCCAAAACCCACCCTTCCCAACTAGGCTGGCTGGGGAAGCCAGGCTTTAGTCCCAACAGATGGGGCCGGCGCTATGCCGGGAATGTCCACCCCACGGCCTCCTCACCGCCCCCTCACCGCCCCTTGTTCCCTCATAATCCGCTCGCCGTCCCTCACCTCCCGGTCCTTGAGGCCCAGCAGCAACACCTCCTCCATGAGCGTGAGCCGCGTTTCCTTGGAGTCCCCCTTCTCCTCTTCCCCCTGCTCGTCTCGCCGGCCTTCCTCCTCTGGCCCACCGCCGCCGCCTCCCCCGCCGCTGCCGCCGCCGGCCCCCCGGTCTTTGTCGGCCGCGCTGCGCGAAGCTTCCGTGCGGCGTTGCACCAGGCCCGAGCTGCGCTGGGTCAGCGAAGTCATGGCGCGGCGGCGGCGGCGGCGGCGGCAAGAGAACGTAGCCTGCGACCCCGGAGGGCCCCGCTCGGCGGGAGGAAAGCGGCAGGAGCCCCGGGAGGCCGCGGCCTTTTCCCTCCGTTCCCACAGGCAGGGCGCAGGCCCGCCGTCGCCGGCAGGCCAGGGACGGGATGGGCGGGCCGGTTCCGCCTGTTGCGGAACTCAAAGCGGCCGGGGCGGCGGGGGCGACTTCGGCGGCGTCTCCTCCAATATGGCGGCGCGGACTCCCTCGGCTGACGCCAGCAGCGACAGCGGCGGAGGCGGAGGATGTGGCAGAAGAGGCGGAGGGAGAAGGGAAGGGAGGCAGACCGGCTTCTCAGAGCCCGCCCGTCCGCGCTGGCCGACGTGGCTGGGTCGCTCCGCCCTTCCTCGGCGGGAGCGGAGGTGCTGAGGAGCTGTGGAAAGCGAGGGGCTCCCCGGGGGTCTTGTTGATCGGGGGCCCCGTTTTCCTCAGGGAGAGGACATTCTACGAAGCGCAGGAAAGCAGCCCGGGCCGAATGAGCAAAAAAAAAAAACCGAGCAAGGGGAAAGGATGTCAGTGAATCTGGGTGGGCGAAATGCAAAATACTGGCCGGCGATCATTCTTGGGGGTTCCTTTTTAGTGCATGTAGTCCTCGTTTAGTGACGGTTGGACGTTACAACGGCACTGAAAGCAGTGACTTTTGGACCACTTTTCACACTTTGGACCGTTGCAGCATCTCCATGGCCACGTGATTTGCATCTGGATGCTACACAACAGACTGGTATCTGATAGTGGCAGTGTCCCATCCCCTTTTGCAAATTTCTGACAAGCAAAGTCAATGGGGAAACCCGATTCACCTAACAACCATGTTACTAATTTAAGTGCTTCACTTAAGGACTGTGGCAAGAAAAGTGGTACAATGGGGCAGAACTCAGCACATTTCTCACTTAGCATCATACATTCTGGGTTCAACTGTGGTCATCAGTTGAGGACTACCTGTAATCTTGTTTAGGGTATCAGCAAAAGGTAAAGAGGTCTTTGTCATCCAATTCAGATCCTCCTGACTTGTTATTTTTACCAACCTGAAACTAACTTCAAGGAAAAGATCTTGAGGCTGTCCCTAGTTTGGCTTCTTTTGGGTTCTGCCTGGGTGCAGATTTTGCAATTTTATGGAGCATCCACATGAAGCCACAGTACAAAACGGAATTGGCTGTACGGTTTGGTCTAGTCTAGTGGTTAAGGCAGCAGGGTAGAAATCAGAAAACAACTATAGTCGTGCCTTAGCTATGAAAGCTGGCTGCATGACCTTGGGCCAATCACTTACTCCCAGGCCAAACCACCTCACAGGGTTGTTGTTGGGGGGGGAGGAGCAGGGAGGAGTGTGTTTGCTACCTTGAGTTACCTATAATAAAAAAATAATAAAAAAGTGATCCCTTAATTAAGGAGGGAAGATAAGGGAAGCAAAGGAAAGGATAGGTAAGGTCAGGTAAAGTAAGATTATGATTCTGTCAGACTGAAGCCAAGGAACAAACAAAGAGAACAATTATCAATTGTTTGACTTCTTTATTTCTTCAATTCTGTACTTCTGTTCTAGAAGAACTTTACAACTAGCAATTGGTGTCACAACTGATTTTTCTCTGTTGCTGAACAGAGAAATCGATTATAATTTTTTTATCTTTGCAAGCCCTTTCCATATAAAAAGTTTGTGGTTCATTTTGAATACTTCTATATATATGTAAAATAGAGGGGTGCAATGGCTCAGCAGTTAAAGGCACTGAGTTTGTCAGCTGGAAAGCTAACAGTGTGAGACCCCGATGCTGCGTGATGGGCTGAGCTCCCGTTCCGGCCCCAGTTCCTGCCCACTTAGCAGTTAATGAAAATGTGAATAAAAAGCACGTATAATCATGCTGGCCACATGACCATGGAAGCATCTTTGGACAATGCTTCCTCCCTCCGCTAAGAAACTGAGACGAGCACTATCCCTTAGAGTTGGACATGACTGGAGAGGAGAAACCTTTCCTTTTACCTACATGAGTAAAATAATGTCACCTAGCCACTAAGTCATTCAGTGTATAAACAAAATTATAACCCTTCGTGCATATGTGCATACATGTATATGTTTATATTCTCAAGAATACACAGGCACTCATGGAACAAAAGTTGATTTGTACATAAGCAGCACCATTGTGGGTTCCAATGGTAGAAATAGGTGGCAGGTTGTCTCTCAAGAGCAGACTGACTTGAGTGAAGATTATGTATAAAGATACTGTCCAAAAGATGCAAAGAAAAATTTCAGAGCCCTTGTTATAAAAAATAGCATGCATGCTTCTGAGTTTACCATGATGTTTTCTGGAAAGAGGATAAAGCAATTCCAGTTAATTACAGTCTAAAGATGAGTTCATTGCAGACATTTGACTGGATTCATCTCATGCTGCATTTAGTTCCATCTATGACCTTTGTCCCAGCAGCTTTGAATAATATAGTAGTTAGCACACTTTTGAAAAGATGTTCAGTTGAATTATTATCTCTAGTAATAGGATAGTAATTACTATCCTAATCCAAAATTAGGATTGATGTAGATTTTCTAGTAGTTGGGAAATAGGAAAAATTGAATTTAGGTGCTGCAAAAGGTGCTTAAAATAAAAAGCAACATGTACTTATTGATAAACCCACCTGAAACATCTGAGGATTGTCTTTGGCCATGCAGAAGCTTTGCATTTGGGTATACTTTTATTTAGGCGTTATTTATTTAGGTTATTAATTAGATTGATTTATTTGATTTATATCCTGCATTTCATGCAGATGTTGATGCACTTGGAATATAATAATTGATAATATACCATTGGCATTGACTAAAATCACCATCAATCAATTGCAAAAAGCAGCTTTACTTGGAACAGCTTACATCCTGTGACACTATCTTTAACACCACCAAACAGCAACTGTCTATCCCACATCATTGAAAAGGATTCTATAAGTGGATAAAAATACCAAATACAATCTAAACATCTGGCTAAGTGATTAACCATAATAATTATGATTGCATTGTATATTATATATAAAGTATTATTTATGAGCACTGTGAAAACATTGAACCTTATGGGAACATCCTGATGAAAGAGGGGTTAAATAGCTGAGAAGTGCTGTGTTAGCATTTCTTCCAAATGATTTCTGAAGCATGCATAACTGCTGTCTACATCTGCACACCTACAGTACATAAATGATTGTAAGGTCAGTGTCAAGAATGTGGAATAATGTTACTGCAGCTCCGTCAAACAAGTAATCTTTATTAGCCACTGATGGTTTCTTTCTCAGAAAAAGTGACTGTCCCAACTATTCAATATGTTTATATAATGTAAGCTTCACTGCTGGTCTGAGAACTGCGTTTAAAATAATCTTTCTAGAAGTTTGTTGCAGCAACAACACAAGATGGTTCTTCTGGTATTTAACACATTGTGATATATAGTCTAGCTTCAATATGTCAGAAGCGAAGTGTATTCCAAAATATTCCAAGAAATGGTAAGGTTACTTAATGAGATTTATGGCTGTGGAATGAAACATCCTTACAATTTATTAGCTTGCTGAAGGATTTTATCATCAAGATATATTCTTATTGCCTTATTTGACACCACAATTATAAAAGCTAAAATGCTTAGTGTCAGCACTTTTAGAAAAAAATATGAACATATTATCAGTATATTCCTTTCCTCTGTCAGAAGCAAGAAGATATGTTATATTTAGTTAATCAGAAATGATTCCAAATCTGGAATATATACTTGTGCAAGTTTTAATCTCTGTTTCAGCCAGAAATGATCAGTTTCAACTAGCAATTATATTTACCAGTGCAATTTCTGGTAATGAAACCTTTCTAAAAGTAGATTGTTTCCTTAGCAGACATTGGTCTAAAAGGGGGAATTAGTTTCTTTCTCAACAAGGGATATTTCTAATACATACATCAGGACAATATACTCACAATATAACCAATATTCTTCACTGATTTTCTCTGGCGGGAAAAAAATCTAAAGTAATTGTGATGAAAGCTAGAAAATTTACAAAGAGCCCTGAGACTTTTAGGACTCTCAGAGTTGAAATAAAAATGAAGTATTTTATATCATTTCTTCCCTTATCCTTGTTTTCTCACCATAATTGGCAATTTGCTAAAAGAGCAAACATTTCACATTTTCTCTTGTCCTACATAGCTTCTTTCAGATTCTTTGTAAAAATATTGCTTCTTTTGTAAGCATGAAAAATCCTTACACATATGCAAAATTAGGGTGTTCCCAGGTAAGGAATTGTTCCTTTCCTGAACAGTGTCAACACTGCCATGGTTATCTCATCTTGCCTGTCTACGCTTATACAGCCATCTGATCAGGAGAGAGATAAATATAAATTGTACAATGCTTTTCCTTTGTAATTCCAGGTCTTTGTGAAAGGTTTCTGGGAGACTGCATTGCTTTCCTCACCAGGAAAATTAAGTCTGCTGCAAATGAGTGAGGGAGTCCCTCCAGCAGCAGATAGTTTTTTTTAATGTTTGCCATCTTCTCAACACACCAAAAATGCTTGCACTTCATCTGATATACCTTCCAGCAGCAGTATTTTAGCAGTGTGCACACACATGCAGGAGTTCATTGCTTGTCTGACTCTGCCTATAAAACTAGCTACTTTGTACCAAAACGAACTACTTCGAACCAAAGAGGAAGCCTACAGAAAAGGCGACAGAATGCTGTACAATCGGGCCAGAACATTAACAAGCAAAAAGAAGCTACTCTGAAAAGCTAACAAATTAGTTCTCAACAAATGAACCAGCAAACATGTGGAAAACTCTTAAAAATATCATTAGTTGCAGCAAACCTTCCTGTGATGACCCAGGATGGGATACAAAACACAGTCATAGAAAACAGGTGAAGCCCCTTTTATTCCTTCACTTTGCTTCCGAGCTCTGAATATCTTTGACAGAAGACAAAAAAAAAAAAAACCTCCCACACAAACAGTTACACGAAGAAGGAAAAAAGCAACACAGACCAGGTAAGAAGGGCTGGAGGATGTCCACAGATAACACACACTGAGAAGGATGCCAAATTCAGAGAGAAACTATAAACTAGAGATATTTACACACTTTGTTTCCAGCGTTCACCAGTATGCAAGGCCATACTTTTATAGAGTTGTCACAGCTGCAGCCCATGAAGAGGATCAAGGCCCTCTCCTCCCGAGTAGACCACGGCTCTCCCTTATCCTCTCCACTCTGCGTGCCCTAGGATGGGTAGGGGATGGGCCTGGGTCCTCCTCTGACTGCCCAGCTGGCCTCTGCCTTTCCC